TCTTATCGCCAATTAACCACCAAAAAGCCAGAAGTGGAGCCTGGCTCAAGTGGTAGAGCACCAGCCTTGAGCACCAAAGCTCAGGGACAGTGACCTCGGCTTTGAGTTCAAATCTCAGGACCACTAGCCCCAAATTCACTCTGTTGTCTTGTTAAGAACATTATAGAAGACTATCATCACATTGCTAGTCTTTCCCTCCCTCCCTCCCTCCCTCCCTCCCTCCCTCCCTCACTCCCTCCCTTTCAAGAATATTGTGAATGAGATTCTTTCTTGACCTCCGTCCCTGCCTGCTCGCCTCTGTTGCATATACTCGCTGGTTGTGTGTGTGTTGGTTTTGTGTCCTGCTGCTGTGCCCGAGTGTTCTCGGGTCCCAGGGGTCAGTATGGAGTGTTGGGGTCATCCAAGCGCAGGCCTGCATCTGCCAGCGACCACAGGGCCTCCGCTCCCGCCCTTCCCTCACCCACCTTCTCAGGCAATCTCCTGGGCCCGTGTGGGGACTGGAGAGCAGACGCACTTGCTGCGTCCCGTGCGGAGCTGCCAGGCTGCAGGCGCACTGCCCACGGCCGGAGGCTAGTTCATGTGGAGGTCTGCTGAGCTGCGTTTGTTTCAATATTGCTTCCATTTGCACCTAAAGTTTTAAAATTTCAAAAAGAAATAGTTTCTAATACTCTGGGGGCAGGAGGGGAGGAAACTGTTCAATTCCAGCTGTGAGCAGTTCCTGGTTCTCCCTCACCCTGCCGTGCGCATGCGGACTTTCTGTCTGACCACGGAGGATGTGCTGGGGCCCTGTGGCTCTGCAGCTCTGGTGAGGAGCCTCCACCCAAACCACGGCCTCCTCCTGACCATGGCCTCCCCCTCCACCACAGCCTCCTCCTGACCAGAGTGTCTGCTTCCTCCATGGCCTCCCCTGACCACAGCCTCCCCCTGACCACGGCCTCCCCCTGACCACGGCCCCCCCGACCACAGCCTCCCCCTGACCATGGCCTCCCCCTGACCACGACCTCCCCCTGACCATGGCCTCCCCCTGACCACGGCCTGCTGAGGCCACATCCTCCCTGACCACAGTACCAGCCAGAAACTTGTTAGAGCTCCTGGACTTCTGCTGAGAGCTTCCTTCCTTGTATTCTTCCTTGCATCTAACATTTCCGAGAATCTGCACTACTGCTGGGTGCTCATCAGTAATGCTTTAGAGATCACAAGGCTTTGGTGATCCCTGGAGGATTCCCCGCCCAGCAGGATGGTGCGGGCATGCCATCAGCTGGTGAGAACTTCTCACCCTGATGAGGCCCAAGAGGCCCAAGGTATTATCACAGCCAATGGCTCACACCTGTAATCCCAGCTGCTCAGGAGGCAGAGATCTGAAGGATGGAGGTTTGAAGCCAACTTGGGCAGAAAAGTCCACAAGACTCCATCTGCAACTAACCAGCAAAAAGCTAGGCTGGAGGTGAAGCTCAAGTGGCAGAGTGCCAGCAATGAGCAAGAAAGCCACGGGAGAGCATAAGGCCCTGAGTTCAAGTCTGGTGCACTCAAATATAAAAATTACTAACATGAATGAATAAACAAACCAACCTACCTTTGGCGTAGGCTCGAAGGGAGCTCAGGCCTCGGTTCTCGGGGTAATCTCGTCACTGGGCCACGCACCGCCCTGCTCCACTTACCCACTCACTCTCACACATCATTAATGAACGAATGCACCTGCAAGCCTTTGCAGACACAGGGCTGGCCTGGCTCATCCCTCAGGTCCTTCCCTAACTACTTGCTCATCTGGTGCTGATGCCCCTAAAGCCCCCGAATGGGGGGTGAGGGAGCCATGGAGGATGGAAGAGAGCGAGCGGAGCTTGGAGGCTGCAGAGGGAGTCTACATGAAAGAGATGAGTCAGGTATAAAGAGCCGTCTGAGAAATGGTGCAGTGGCTCATGCCTGTAATCCCTGCTACTCAGGAGGCCCAGAGACGGAGGATGGTGGTTTGAAGCCAGCCCAGGCAGAAAAATACATGAGATGCTTACTTCCAATTATCTAGCCCCCCTCCACCAAATTTGTCTGGGGGGTATAACCCAGGTAGCAGAGCACCAGTCATGAGCAAGAAAGCCAAGCGAGAATACAAGGCCCTGAGTTTAAGTGTTGGTATCAGTGTGCACTCGCAAGTGTGCACACACACAGACACACAGAGCAATCAGAGGCCCAACAGAGGTAACTCGAGCTGGAAGAGTCTTCGGATTCCAGCCAGGTGCAAGTGGTAGGTAAGGATTGCTTAGCACCCAACTTGATTCAAAAGTTCTTGGCTCTCAGTGCACCAGGAGGATTTGACCCAGCAGGTGGACAGCAGGCCTGGCTGGCTCTGCATGCCAACCCCAGCCCCACCACACCCCCTGGTCGCCAGCAGTCCCCCCACTCCCTGTGTTGTTTCCCAATTCCAGCGTCTCCTCATGGCTCTGAGATCAGGGCTGTGGTTCAGTCCCCCATGCACAGCCCACCTTCCAGCCAGCCGACAATTCCTGCAGGCTGTGAGACGTTCTGGCACATGCTTGTAGCCTTCATGTTGAGGCCTGGTCATGCTACCTCAAGCCACTGAGCTCGTTGGGCTCTGTGGCTCACATCTGTAATCCTAGCTATGATCCCGAGGATTGTGGCTCCAGGCTGGCTGGAAAGAAAAGTCCAGAAGATTCCATCTCTATGGAGAGAAAGAGTTGGTTCATGCCTGCAATTTCAGCAGCTGCTGCAAGCCTGAAGTAGACAGGTCACAGATCAGGCATGAGCCAGGGGGGGAATGGAGACCTTGCGTCAAAAACCAGGGAAAAGGCAGACTGGAGGCTTAGCTCAAGTGGGTAGGGTGCCAATCTAGCAAAGGCAGGGCCCCGAGTTCAAACTTTAGTACCCAAGTACACACACACACACACACACACACACACACACACACACACACACACACACACACACACAGCTCCAGAACCATGGCTCCGGGCTCAAGAATTCCTCCCATAAAACATTCTCGGAAAGTTCTAGCACCACAAATTCCAGCAGCTCTGCCCTATAGAACTGACAACTTTTGGTGATGAAATTTTGTCTGACCAAGGACAGTCCTATAAAGGAAACCTTCCATTTTAAGAACATTCTAGATGGGGCATGATGGCTCTTGCCTGTAATTCCAGCTTCTTAGGAGCCTGAGATCAGGAGGATATTGGTTCTCTGCTCTGAAAAAAGACCCTATCTCAACCAACATCTCTGGTGACTCATGGTGACCTGCACTGTGTGGGAAGAGAAAAAGGATGACCACAGTCCAGGCTGGTTTCTGCAAAGATGAGAATCTATTAAAACAATGGCAAAGGAAGCGTGAGGGACATGGGGTGAGAGGCAGAGTCCCTGCCTAGCAAGTCGGAGGTTTCTGAGTTCAAACTCCAGTGCTGCCAAAAAATAAAAATCTGAAAAGAGCGGTCACCGTACGCTGTTGCCGATTTCAGGTTCCTTAGGGCTTAATGGGGTCCCTTAGGGCTTGGGGTGGCAGGCACCCCAAGATTGTGCAGCTGAGTACCCCAGGAGTGTCTGGTCCATCATGGAAGTTTGGCCTGGGGCTTTGCCTCTGCTGTGGCTGTGTTCACACAAAAACGGGATGGAACACCCCCATGACCACCGTCCCAGCCACTGCCAGGCTGTGGGGACGGGGAGTGCGGGGGATCGAACTCAGGGCTTGCGCTCTCACTCGGCTTCTTCCGCGTAAGGCTGGTACTCTGCCACTTTCGAGCCACTGCTCCACTCATGGCCATGAGTGGTTGATTGGAGGCAAGTCTCAAGATCCATCTGCCCTGGCTGCCTTTGGACCACGATTCTCAGATCTCAGCCTCATGAGTCACTGGGATAGGTGTGAGCCACCACGCCCAGCTCTGCCCTGCCCTCCTCCTTGGGGCTCCCCAGGATGGACAAGGAGGCAGGCACCATGTCACAGATTTTAAGTCCCCCAACTTCTGCCCTTCTCCATTTGCCACGCCTGGCCCAGCGGCCACCACCCTCCTGGGCTGGCCGGCTGCTGCGTCTCGGCACAGGAAGACACACACAGTGACGTCACTAGGTTGGTACAAAAATTTAACAAGTTTTTTTTTTTTTTTTCCTTTTACATCTTAAAAAACTAAACAGGTGTTTGAGGAGAGTGCGGTTGCCAACCGACCAGGGGTATGCCACGAGAGGTATGCCACAGAACACCACGAGACACAGAAGAAAACCCGGCAAGGAAGGTCACAGAGAGCTGAGGGAATTGCAGATGGACAGCGGTAACAGGAAGGACAGGTCACAGGCCCGGGGCCAGGCTTGGCCACGGGTCCCGATCAGCGCTTCCTCATCTCGCAGCTCCGAGACAGCACCTTACAGGAGGTTTACAGTATTTTGTTCAGAATACACACAAAAAGAAAAGGCAAAGTGAGGCAGAGGGTCTGCGTGGGGTGGTGATGGGTGATGCGGGCACGGCCCCCCGCACAAACGAGCCGCGGGAAGGTTGGTTCACATTTTTTAATCACATGGCACATGTACATCACACAGGCTCCCGGGAGGACATGCTGACTCGGGTGTGCTGCCCCCTGCCACACAGATCGGGAAAAGACTTCGTTACATACAGGAGGGACAGCAGGAAACTCGCATTGACCAATCTGTACAACACCCAGGGCGGCGACCACAGTTCCGCGCACAGACTCCTTAGACTGTTGGGGGTTTTTTGTTTTTGTTTTACGTTGTCTTTAAGGAAAAAGAAAAGCAAACCAAAAGGGGGAAAAAAAACCCAGAAAGGAAAAAAGAAAATCCAAAAACACCCCCAACTCCATGACAGCTGGTATTCACAAAATCTGAAGCTTACCACTAAACCGGTCAGTTTACTACTAAAATAGATCTCTCTGCTTATTAAAGCAATGGTCTGTAGTTAACTTTTTTTGTCTTTTTTCACCAAAAAAAATCCCCCCCCCCAAACCAAACCCCAAACCAGGGCACCAATGTCAGGTAGCACTTTTAAGACACTAGAAGACCAATGGAAGGAATTTTATTTCATACATGTTATTTTACAATCCGGTAGACAAGATATATTCTATTTCTCTGCTACTAAAAGTCATTTTCTCTCAAATATGTAGACAAGAGGCTTAGTGAATTATAAAAGATCACGAAGAGACGTGAAAATTGATGCAAACTCAAAAAACACACGCGCACACGACACTTTTTTAAAATTTTTTCTCTGCCACCCACCCCGGTGATACTCTCCATAGCGCCCCGAGGCTGACCTGCTCTCCTGAGCAGACTTCATCTTCACCCCAAGAAACGTGGATCTGAGATTCCTCATTACCTGCAGTGTGTGTGTGTGTCTGTGTGTGTGTGTGATCACACCCACCCTCCGAGAAGACTCGGGACTCCTCTGCACGTGGTAGGGGCCCAGCACCCCGGGGAGCCCCGGGGTGGAGGGGATGGGCGCCCCCTCTCGCCCCGCCCTGGCTGCCCCCATCCTGGGGTCACCTCCTGGGGGGTACACCTCCCCAAGACTCCACAGATCCAGACACGAAAGATACAGCCTGGAGGGGCCGCCGCGGAAAACCGGGTGCTTCTCCGCCGGGAAAGGAAAAGAAAGAAAGCGAGGAAGAGTTGTTCGCAGCAAGCGCTATGACCTTAAGCATGTGGTAGATGAGTCTGAAAGGCTCGGCGGAGTCGGGGGGCTCCGGGGAGCCCCGACATTCATTGCATAGTTGAAGGGTTTAGCTGAAGGGTCTCGCTCGGATATTCGGTCGGCAAATAGCACATTTTTAAGTATTCATGTATAATGTTAATCTTTTTTTTTTTTTTCTTAAACCTATTTACATTTTATACAAAGTAAAGCTTTCTTCTAACCCTTTTGCATATATGAACCGTATGTACAGGCCTCCTCCCCGGAGGGGCGCCGGCCTCCTCCGCGCGGCCTCCTGGGGTCCGGTCAGCGCGGCGGGCTGCTGTCCACGGGCGGTGGCGGGTGGGGCGCAGGGCTCTCCGGGCCCGCGCGGTCGGTCCGCGGGGCGCAGTGGGGTCCGTCCCGGGTCTCCCTCACCGGGCCTCGATGTCCTTGAGCGCGTGCGAGGGCGGCCGGTCCCGGGCGTCGGGCGGCAGCGGCGTAGTCCTGCGCGGGGAGCCGGGGCGCGCGCCGCCCAGCGCGGACACGGACACGAGCGGCGGCGGCGCGCTCAGCGCGGCGGCGGGAGGCGTCTTGGGGAGCAGCGCGGCCTGCGGCGCGGCCGCGGGGCTCAGGCGCGGGTAGTGCAGGCCCGGCAGCCCCGGCGCCAGCAGCCCGGGCGGCGCCAGGTGCGCGTCCAGCGCCGGGGGCAGCGCGCCCGGGGGCAGCGCGTGCAGCCGCGGCGGCTCGAAGTCGTCGCCGCGCAGCAGGTGCAGGCGCTCGTCGGCGGGGCGCGCGTCGGGCTCGCGCCGTGGGTCGTGGTGGTGGTGGTGGTGGCCGTAGTCGTGCGGCTCGCGGTCCCGGAAGCGCTCGGCCTCGTAGAGCCGCGGTGGCAGCCGAGGCAGCAGGAAGTCGCGGCCCAGGTCGCGGCGCGGCAGCTCCAGCTCGCGGTACGGGTCGCGCAGCGGATCGCGCAGGTCCCAGTGGAAGGCGGGGTACGGGAAGCGCTCGGCGCCAGGCAGTGGGCTGAGCCCCACGAAGGGTGTCACCATGCGGGTCCGGTCCAGGCCGCCCAGGTGCGCGCCGGGCGCGGGTGCGGGCCCGCCCGGCGCTGCGGGGCCGGCGGGGGGCTCGGCCTGCCGCGGGGGCGCGGGCTCGGGCGGCTCGGGGTCCTCGCGCCGCTCCTCCTTCACCCGCACCTCGGGGCCGCGGCGTGGCGCCTCCGCCTCGCGGCCCGCGCTGCTGCTGCCCGGCCGGGCGTCGGGGCGTGCGAAGGGCGACGGCGGCCGCTTGTCCTCGCCCGGGTCACCGCGCTCGGGCGCCGGCGCCTCCTTGGCCTTCAGCTCACCCGGCTCCCGGCGTGGCTCCGCGGGCTCCCGGGCCTTGTCACGGGCCTCCGGGGTCGCGTGGGCCCTGGCGTGGCCCGGGGCGCCCGGCGGGGCGGGCGCGGGTGAGCGGTGTCCGGGTGGCCTCTTCTCGGCGCCGTCCCTGCGGGCAGAAGCACGGGGTGAGCGGGGCCCGGGGTGCAGGGGGGCGCGGAGCAGGCAGGGCCGGAGGGCAGGGGAGGGGGCTGAGGGCAGAGCGTGGAGTGGGCAAGAGGGAGCACAGGGCAGAGCCGGAGCAGGGAGGGGACGCCGCCAGGTAGGGTGGCAGGGAAGGTCGCTGGTGGAGGGACAGGGCGGGCACGCGTGGGCCCTGGCGATGGGTAGGAGTGGGGTGGGAGCGTCGTTGCCCAGGAGGGCGGAGAGGGAGTGCAGGCTAGCAGACAAGATGTTTCCAAGAGCTCAAAGCCAGCTCCAGGGGCACGGAAGGGTGGCAAAGGTCCTGGGGCCCAGCGCAGAGCTCCCACAGAGCTCCCGACCTGGGTGAGAGGCAGGATCTGACCCGATCCCTTGGCATGAGGACAAGGTGTGTGTGTGGGGGGGGGGGGACACAGGAGCCCGGCCAGAGGGTGGCATCTAAGGGGGGGGGGGGCTCAACTGGGCCAGGCAGAGAGGGATATGGGACAAAGAACCAGGCAGGGAATCAGGAGAGCACTCGCGGGCCAGGCCCAACACCAGAAGGAAAGGAAGCCGGATCAGAGGCCACGAGGCCATATGGGGCTGTGCAGAGGCCCACGGGAAAGTTCTGACTCAGTTCTGAGTCCCAGCTCCCACCCAACAGCTACTTTAGCTCCATCAGGAAACAGCAGGGTGTGCGGCCTAGTTACTGTGGGGCTAGGGGCTGTGGACAGCCCAGAGCAGCTGTGGACATTCACTCCACTGGCAAACCTGTGTGCGCCACACCACCTTGCAGGGAAATCTGCCTGCTCGTTTGTAAGAAAGCAATCAAGGCCAGCCACCAGCAGCTCACCCCTGTCATCCTAGCCCCTCAGGAGGCTGAGACTGGAGGATCACAGTTGGAAGCTAACCTGGGCAAGCAAGCCTGTTGATCCTTTTCTCCAATAAACCGCCAAAAAGAAGCCAGAAGTGGAACTGTTCTCAAGGGGTAGAGCACCAGCTGAGTGAAAAGCTCAGGGACAGTGCCTAGGCTCTGAGTTTCAGCCCCAAGACCAGCCAAAAAAAAAAAAGGATGGACAGATAGAAGGCTAGACAGACGGACGGGAGGAGGATTTCTCAAGAAGGCTCAGGGCAGTCCTGGGGTCCTTCCTGGGGTCATTATTCCAGGCAGGGATTAGTAGCAAGGTTAAGGAAAGGAATTATCCACCCGCACTCCCCCACCCCCAAGTTGATGTTCCTCCTTTAGGTTAATAAAAATTTTACTGTTCACCTGTGAGCCCCAGAATTTGAGTTTGAACAAAACTGGAGAAAAAAATGAGGAGCGTGTGGTAGGAATGGCAAACATGACTTTGTAAAAGCAAATAATAAACCAAAACAAAAAGGGAGAGGAAGGGGAGGGGGGGGGGAGGGAGGGCAGAGCCCAGGGATGACCGGATGGACTCTGGAGGGATCGGAACGCAAACGTGATTCATGCCATGTGTGTTCGGCCTACTCCAGCTGGCCGTCTCTACGAAGGGCTCCTGGACTCTAGCCTGGGGGGAATCTAGTGTCCTGAGGGTCCCTGCTACTTGGAGGCTGTGGTCCTGACTCAGTGTGTGGCCAGACACCCAGGGCGCCGTGCACAGGGTGTGGACCCTGGGGCCAGTCGGGGGAGGGGCCGGGATGACAGTGGGCGGCTGAAGCCCGGGGCTGGGACTGGAGGGTGGGCAGCCGGCCCTGCTGGCTCTGCCGGCTCGGCTTGGCAAGGTGGGGCTCCCCCACGGGGCTGGAGGACCGTTTCTTTCCATACCTTTCTTTGTCATCCTTACTAACAGATGAGTCTCGTTTATCTATGTCTCTATCTCTGTCATGAGCTGCAGCAGACGCGCTGCGCTCCAGCTCCCCTGGCTTCAGCCAGGGCGGAGGGGTCGGGAACGACGCGGGCGTCCGCTGCAGCCGGTTCCAGGGCTCATGAGGGCTAAAGCTCGGCACACTGGGGCCATCCTTGTGGCCGAACACTGAGTTGGGAGCTGAAATGGTCAAGTGGAGAACAAAAATGGAAGAGAAATTATAGGCTCTGCTGTCATGGGGTACTTACCAAAACACTGTAAACAGCACCCAGACTTAAAATGAATACATATTACTGGGAGCTGGAAAAGGAAACATTGACAGACACATTAGAGGAATTCTCGCCCGCCTGCAAGCTGGTTCACAGTTCTCTTTTTAACCCAAGATGGACATGGGGCTCGGCTGGCTGCACAGGCCGGGGTGTGTGGGTGGGGGGGGGGGGGCAGGTAAGATTTCTAGCCACGTGCAGAGCAGTGTGGTTCTCAATCCCGGAGCCTTGCTCTCTGCCACGCTGTTTCTTAAGTGGAAACCTCCTGTGGTTTGGGAGCACACGGCATGTTGAATGTCACCTGGAACCTGCCTCCCCCCCCCCCCCCCCCCAAGGAAACCAAGCATGCAAAGCTCCATGGAGTTTCCAGTGACCGTGATGTGCAGAGGGGAACACGGTGAACACCTCCATCTTGCTGTACAGGCCAGGCCTGTGCAGCGTGGGTTTCTCCTGGCACAGTCCCACCCTACCCCGCAAAGGCAGGCCAGAGTTCTACTGTGTTATTTATTTGGTTGGTACCAGTAGTGGGCTTGAGTTCAGGGCCCTGTATTCTGCCTTGGCATCTTTGCTCAAGGCTGGTGCTCAACCCATTGAGCCACAGCTCCACTTCCAGCTTGTTGCTGGTTCATTGGAGATCAGTCTCACAGACTTTACTGCCCGGGCTGGCTTTGAACTGTGATCCTCAGCTCTCAGCCTTCTGAGTCGCTAGGATGACAGGTGTGAGCCACCAGCACCTGGCCTGTGTAAGATGGAATTTCGACCTGTTTTTTCTGTAGTGGAGCTGGAATAGGATGAAGGTGTGAACTTAAGTAAAGTTCCTCAGCACACAGTAAGTGGCCAGCTCCCCAGAGCTAGGCCCAGGGTGGGGGAGGGCAGTACTCACTGACGGAGGGGTTCCCGAGTCCTCCGAAGGCGTTGCCCCCGACTGCGGCCAGGCCGGTGAACGTGGATGGGCGGTTGAAGGGCTCTGTGTGGGGTAGGGGAGGGGATGTCAAGGCCCTGTGTGCCAAGCCCTGCCCCCTGCGTACCCTTCTGTGCCAGGGCCTGAACTTGGCCTGTCTGGGACATGTGAGCCCTGTCCCAGCCCCTTTTACTTTGGTTGTTTGCAGCTAGGATCTACGTTTTGCCTGGGGCTGGCCAGTACCCAGCACTGCGGGGACACCCTAGCCAGCACCCAGCAGATCCCATCATCCCATGGTTGACGGGCAGCTCACCCAGATGAGCGGCAGGGTTAAGGAAGTTGCCGTGATGGGGGGGCGGTCCGAACGGGGTCCCGGCCGGATGTGCAGCACCTGTGGGTCCAACATAATGAAATCAGATGATACAAAGCCTGCCCCGCATGAGGCCAGCACACTGCTGACTTCAGGAGGCCACAGGGCAATGTGTGGAAAGGAATGGCTGCCGAGTACCCAGGCCCCTGCAGGTACCCCGGCACCGACACATGGGGACCCCCTGGCATGCCTATATGCAGAAGCAGAGGACAAACTGCCCGTTGCCCCTAGCAGGGCAACTCATACCACAAACAAGGAATGATGCGGAAGGAAGTCAGAAAAACCAGGCTACTGTGCCATCCACAACTGAGTGACTTCTTGTGACTTCAGATGCCTCTCAGCATAAGAACAGCAACTTCTGCCACGGACATGTCAGTCTGCAGACATGTGCCCCTCAGTGCCAGTTCCAAAGGCACTGTCTTGAGCTGCCCATGGCTGCAATGCCCAGTCTTGGAGTGTGCTGTTGGTGTCACGCAAAGGCACCTTTGCAAAGGTGAAACTGGCTGCTGGGAGTCACCCCAGAGCACGGGAAGGAAGGCACACGAGGCCCCTCAACATCCAGCACAGATGAGGCCAGTCTATTCCTCCACTTCCATTTAGTCTGCTCTGCCTTCCTTCCTTCCATTTCCCTTCAGACATTTTATATGCTTACTATGAGCCTCTCTTCCTGAACTGGCTTTGAACTGTGATCTTAAACACAGCCTTCCAAGTAGCTGGGATTACAGGTGTAAGCCACCAGCCATCGGCAAAGGACCCTATTTCCAACTCATGAACAGGCAGCTCAGCATTAGGAGGTGCTTCTCTTTATTTCACGATTTCATCCCCAGAGCAGATGAAAGTGGCTGAATATGACAAGTATGTATGTGTTACAAATACCAGCTCAAGGCTTCACCAACTAACCATTCTGGATAAAGTCCAGTGATGCTAAGGCACAAAGACGACCTCCCAGAATGGAGGGACAAACAGGGCCGGGACTCACGTTTCAGGGCTCCTGTGCAGTGTCTAAGTCCTCACCTGTGCTTGAGAATGGGGATGGGTGTGGGCGCTGGTGACACTCAGTGCCACTTCTCAGCCCTGGTTGCTGGCCTGCTCAAGCCCTGTAGGCCTCCATTAGCAGAGGAAGCCACAGGTCCATGCACGGAGGGCACAGGCTATGCTCACGGAGATGCCCAAGAGGTCTCCACCCAGCCCTGGTTAGGGCCCCAAGACTCCACCAAAGAAGCCACACCCACCCTACAGCAGCAAACCCCCCCCCCCCCCAGGTCACATCCACAATACAGCTACTGCCTTCTTCAGCTTAGAACCATTCAACAGCCTTGCCCACCCCATAGCCATGCCCACTCTCCAACTGGGTCAAGGCCTTAACTGCCTCAGGCTACAGTTTTAGCCACACTCCCTCGGTGTGCTACAAGCTAATTACAGCTTCAATGAGACCAGAGCTGCTCACAGCCATGGCCCCAGGGAGGCTCACAGTTCCAGAATTACTGAAGCAGAAGCAGCCAATTCACCCCCTTGGCTCCAGTGAAAGTCAGGGAGGAAATTCTTGATTTCTCTCCAAGTCGGCTCTTCACATAGCCCTGTCTTAGACCTAGGAGCCATGGCAACTGAGTCCTACAATATGTCCCCCAGTAGAACTGACAAGGAGGCTGGGCCCTGGAGTGGAGGAAATGATGAGGATTTCTTGCCTTTTGGGTACATGGGACCGCCAACAGTGAGCAGTGGGTGAGACTGTGGAAGGTGGCTGGAGGGCAGGAGGGGAGGGAGGGGCGCCTGGTCTGGGTGGTGCCCTATCCCACTGTGGGCAGAGGGTCGTGAAGGGGAACAGAATTTGCTATAGAAATGAGCTCCACAGGGCTGGGAAGGTGGCTTAGTGGCAGAGTGTTTGCCTAGCATGCATGAAGCCCTGGGTTCGATTCCTCAGTACCATATAAACAGAAAAAGCTGGAAGCGGAGCTGTGGCTCAAGCGGTAGAGTGCTAGCCTTGAGCAAAAGAAGCTCAGGGACAGCACCCAGGCCCTGAGTTCAAGCCCCAGGACTGGCCAAAAAAAAAAAAAAAAGAGAAAAGATATGAACTCCATGTGAATTACACTCAGGTACTCAAATAGGTGCTATCTTTAGTTATTTACTGAGCAGAGCTCTGGGCCATGGGCCATACCCTCAGTCTTAGAAGAGATCAGACAGGGATGCCACACCAAGAGGCCCTGCTTTGAAGGGAGGAGGGTGGGAGGTACAGGGTCCTGGAAAGGACAGGATGGTCCTCTGTGGTCCCTCTTCCAGGCCTCCTTCCCTTCCCCAGTGCACCCTTCCCCAGACCACAGACGGGGGGTGGGGGGGGTGGGGGGGGGTGGTGTATACAGAGTACAGAGGTGAACAAACCAAAGACTGAACACACAGGTCCCATGACCCCAGCAGGAGAGGGTGGCCCTAAATTCCCGCACTGCTGTAATTGGCCAGCCAGAAGCCCGCAGCCCCTTACACGAGTCTGCCTTGTTTGCGTTTGTCCTTACAGCCCGTCACTCACCGAGGCTGTTGTGTGCAGAGTGACCCAGTGCTCCATGGGCACCTAGATGTGGGCACTGTGTTCCTGGATAATTCTGCCCTGGTGAGCTTTCTGCTCTTTTCCAATATGCGCTGACAAACTTGGGGGCTGTCAGGTCAACAAAGCCGCCAATGATAAAGCCAAGCAGTGCCAATCCCACCGGGGGAGGGGCCTGTCTTCCTTCTGCAGTGGGAGGAAACGCCAGTTCCCTCCACACGCTGGCTGTGTGCGAGCGGAAATGCCTCTCCTCGCAGAGGCGAGAGTAGCAGGTGGGCACAGGGACCACGCAGTGCGCTTAGCCTCTCTGGGACGGCCTCATCCGGCAGGCCTCAACCCCTTGGGACTTACCAGCGGCAGAGAATAAAGTGGAAGGCCGTGCCAGGTCGTGGGGATGGTGGATGGCTCCAAAGAGACTGGGGCCGGGCGGGCGGCTCAGGAACTCGGGCTTTAGGCCGAAATCCAGCTTGTGTGGGTCTGACTGCATCTGTTTCTAGAGCAAGAAGAAGACATGCAGGGCAGGTTAGAAAGACGTAGAAGAATGTGGTAGAGTGCCAACCTTGAACAAAAAACTCAGGAGCAGTGCCTGGGCCCTGAGTTCAAGCCCCAGAACTGGTACATGAACATGTATGTACACATATGTCTGCACACATGCACAAATGATAAATTGCTTAGAAGCTCATTTTATTAGGAGCTTCTGTACGGTAATCTGCTGTGTAATGGCCGCAGGAGAACACAGGACACATTGGTGACTGAATGCAAGGAGGAAGTATTTGCAAGCCTTCAAGCTAATTTTCAAAGGCTCATTGTTATATGATAAGGAAAATACGTGAAAACAGAGGATGATCAGTTTAATGGACAGGGCCCTTTCCTCCTCCTATCCATCACCCTTCATTACCTGAAGAAGAGGAAGTCAGCTGACACCAGAGGACCATCAAGACCCTCTCACCCAGCGCCAGCACAGCCCACTGACTCCCATCCACCCTGAGCTAATTGTGCTAGGGAGCTAGCACAATGGAGGCTGCAAGGCTTCTAGATCCTCCACTGCCTCCTCTGGACTCAGGTATAGGGGCTGGAGACCATCCCTCCTTGCTGCAGGTCACCCCCCATGAGTTTATCACCCAATTTAGACAGCAGCATACCCTAGCACCTGGTGCTGAGAGCCACACCAAAACCCAGCACTCTGATCACTGCTATTTCCCCAGCCTTGAGACTAGACAGCAGGAAAGACTTAATAAGACTTGGGGTTCCCCCTGGCCTGGCACAGGAAGTAGCCCACAGACTCCAGGGGCTCACATCTGTCATCCCAGCCACTCAGGAGGCTGAGATCTGAGGATCATGTTTCAAAACCAGCCAGAGCAGAAAAGTCTGTGATTCTATCTCCAACTAACAAGCGAAAAGTTGGAAGTGGAGCTGCTGCAGCTCAAGTGGTAGAATGCCAGTGTTGGTCAGAAAAAGCTAAGAGGAAGTGCCTAGGCCCTGAGTTCAAGTCCTAATACTGGTTAAAAAAAAAAAAAAAGTAAATTAATGTCCAAGACAAAGGTGGTTGAGGGAACTCTCTGCTCAATTCTACAGGGAACCCTACCATGAAAACCTCATCACACATAACAGCCAGCCCCCACCACGCTTCTAATTCACTATAAATCTAGTAAAAAAAAAAAAATCCTTGTGTTTCCTTAATTCTGGTTGCCAAATTATTTAGTGTTAATACTGCACAGCGCGTGGCATAGCTCCATTAAATACAACTTAGGCCCGTGGAGCAGAGCAGAGCTTGGGAATTACTGAGCTCTGAGATGGAGGCTGGGTGCCTAGCTCAAGAGGCGTAATGGAATGGGATAATGGAAGTGGAAGTCACCAGGGCCTTTTCTGGGAAAGAACTTGCTGGAATAGCACTGAGCATCTTCTGTGGCTTCAGAGCCCGGGGGAGATGAGGTCCCATCCCACCCGCTGTTCTGTGAGAACCCACGGAGAGTCGAGCTCATCAGCACAATGTTCCTGGTGCTTCCCGCTGTGTCCCATCTCCCGGCTGAGCTGAAGTGCGAGGTTCCCAATTAGACCCTGCCTAACGACATAGGAGTAGTGAACAAAGCTCACTGGAGGGGTGTGCGGAGGAAGAGCAGGTGTCTGGGAGCCAATGCACAATAGCTCTTGCTCTGTCTGGAATCACTGACCTATTAAAAGAACTATCCCTGAACTGTCAACATTCCTCTTGCTTATGTACTATTTTCACTGGTGGTGGTTGAGCCATGCCTTCCATCCAGCTTTTGCTGGTCAACTGGAAATGAAGTCCCACAGACTTCCATGACCGGGCTGGCTTTGAACATCAACTCTCAAATATCAGCCTCTTAAGTAGCTCAGATTATAAGCCTGAGGCACTGGGTTTACCACGTCACAATGGCAGATGTGAACACCGACCATTGGCCATATAATGGCCAATTTGAACACTATTTTCTAGAAGGATCACTGTTAACTACATGCCCTGCTAATGGATGCACAGAATTATCACTGTATAGTATAAAATTCTCACTTCTTCAAGCTGTCAAATGAAAACAACACACTGTTATTATTCCTGTTGTTTTTTGTGTAGGCTCTGGGACTTGAACTCAAGAGCCTGGGAGTGTTGTCCCTTAGCTTTTGTGTTCAAGGCTAGTGCTCTACCACTTCAGCCACAGCGCCACTTCTGACTTTTTCTGAGTAGAGATAGAGTCTCATAGACTTTCCTGCCTGGGCTGGCTTTAAACCTTGATCCTCAGATCTCAGCCTTGTGAGTACTAGGATTACAGGTGTGAGCCACTGGGCTAGTCACAGTGTTATTAGAAAAATTATTAGCTGGGTGCTGGTGGTCCAAGCCAGTAATCCTAGCTACTCAGGGGGCTGAGATTTGAGCCAGCTCAGGCAGAAAAATCCATGAGACTCTGATCTTCAATTAATTGCTTCAAAAACCAGAAGTGGAGCTGTGGCTCAAAGTTGGCCAGAGCACTAGCCTTGAGCAAAAAAGCTCAGGGACAGTGCCCAGGCTCCGAGTTCAAGGCCCACACCTGACAAAAAAACAAAACAAAACAATTTTCAGAAACACCGTTTCTCTCTGCTTAAGTATCTTTTATCTTTTTATTTTTAATCATTATAACTAGGTTTCTAACACTTTTATTTTGGGGCTCATTCCATATTTTAACCTTTTAATCCTTAAGATGATAAAATCACTGGAAAGGAAAAAAAAAAATCACACCAGGAAATCATCCATTTGCTTGAGTTTTGTAATTTCCTGAAGTTGCTGGGTAGCAGGGAGAATTCTGAGTAGCTGGTCCAAAGCTGCCTCGTTCTTCCCTCCCTGTCCCTGGCAGACCCCACTCAGTGCAGACCACGCCCATCCAGGCCCCACCCCCGAAGACCCTGCCTACCACAGACCACACCCACCACACCACACCCCCACCCCAGCTCTAACCTTCACTTTCTGCTGGTGATGGTAAATCTGCCAGGCGATGTGCACGTGCATGGCGCACCACTTCCCAGGTTTCTGCGGGGTGAAGGGAAGACATGGGTCAGGGGAAGACACTGCGGGAGGAGGAGCCTCCTGCTGCTTCCCCCTGAACCAGCCAGGGGACAGAGCCAGTTCCCACCCTGGGCTAGGATGTAAGGGGATGGGACAAGCCCGACCATACTGTGTGCATGTCTGTGTGTTTCTATGTGTGTCTGTGCGTGTCCGAGTCTGTCTGTCCCTGTGTACTCACTGGTCTGTCTGTGTCTGCCTGTATGTCTGTGTGTGTATATGTCTGTGTCTGCCTGTCTGTCTCTTCCTGTGCCAGCCAGTAGGCTGGGCAGGGGTGGCTCTACTTGGCAAATGCTACTCAGTAAACCAGGCACTGAGCAGAGCTAATGTAGGACCATGGCCTGCAGGCAGGGCCTGGGCTCTGGGTGCCCAAGGTCGATGTCTGCTGGCCCAAGAAACTCAGGATGTTTTTTATTGTAGTCCAAGGTCGCTAAGGCCCCCAAGACCCAGGACCAGTTCCTGCTGTGGGCGCTGTGTACTTCTAAGAGAGAACAAGCAGGGGGGAGGCTTCCTCTAAGAGAGAACAAGTATGGAGGGAGGCTTCCCCCTCCTGGGGCACAGCTCTCCATCCACGCTGGTGGGGTACACAGTGCATTCTCTTTATCACCTACAGAACTGCATCCACCTGCCAGGGGCACCACCCTCACCACCTGCATCACCAAGGGCAGGAGCCTCTGCTTTCTGCATGGACAGGAAGAGTCCTGGGCCAGCTCTCCTCTCTTGTGACTGAGTATGGGTCACCCATTCCCACCATCTTCTTCACCTCCATCTCTGCCCCAGCCCTTACCATCAGCACCAGGTTCAGGACTGCAGGAACACTTTGCTTTAAATACAATGTGATTGAACCAACGCTACAACATCTCTTTCTATGTCTACTACTCAAAGAATAGCTACTGCCCAAATAAAGAGATCCCAGACAGAGACTAACATCAGCCTACAGACTGACTAGACCTGCTAAGGACAGGATCTGACCGAGTTGTAGCTGGGCCTGGTAGTGCATGTCTGTAATTCCAGCACTCAGAAGGCTGTGATAGGAGGATCCTGAATCTTGGTCTGGTTTGTCTGTCTCAGAAGGTCTGACTTGGTTGAATTTCATCTGTTACATTCATGGAAAAGCCAGTGAGCGGCCTGACTTCCTAGAACACCTTGGGCCCTGTGCAGTCATGTGACCCGTATGGGCACATCCCGTGGACCTCCTCGGTATAGGGGTGTTTTTAGCCCTTGGGAGTCAAACAGAGGCTGCAAAGACAGGTCTGAAACTGCATCTTACCCTCAGCATGGGCCTGAAAGGATCTGTCAGCTGTGAAGAGAAAACGACAACTCGGTTACACGCCTGTCACTCAAACAATTGCTCTAATTAACAAATTTGTAGTGCTTCATTAGGAGGGGAAATTAAAATGTTAGAATTTTACTTTTAAATGAAGCCCTTTTAGAGAATAATTAACTCATTTTCACACTATCAAAAGTGCCAAGGGTCCCCTCCCCCACCCCAAGGCCCCGGGACATCACACTGACAAGCCCTGGTCCAGGCTGCATCAGGGACTGGGCTCCCCGTAGCCAGGCATTGTGAGGGACCCCATCTCCAGTGACTCTTCCTGTCTGCACCAGGTGAGGCCTCACTGGGCCTGGACATGAGGGACACTAGACAGCTGTATCCCACACTGAAGCCAGGCTCTCTGCAATAACCCATGCATCACGCACAGGTGCTTGGAGAGCTCCCGCCTCCTGCCGTGGACACATGCTGCCCTCTGCCCAGCATTGGCCATCCATTTCTGACTAGTCTCACACAGGAAAAAAGAAGGTATCACAAAAGGCAACCAAATACTATAAAGATGAACCCAGAGAGCCATCCAAACTATTATGTAACTTTGCTATGTACGATTAGTAACAAACATAACCAAAGCGCCATGGCTATTTTGCGTAGCGGTAGAGCGTGAAGGCCCCTGGGGCACATTAAGAACAGGAAGCACACGGACAGGCAGGTCCAGCACCAGACAAGGGAGATGAGCCCTGACTTCCAGAAGGAAAACACTCAGCGCGGGCGTCAGCAGTTCATGCCGGTCATCCAGGCTACTCAGGAGGTCTGAGGTCTGAGGAAAAGTCTGTGAGACTATCTCCAATGAACCATCAAAAAGCTGGAAACAGAGGTGTGGGCCAAGTGGTAGAGTGCCAGCCTTCAGTGAAAAAGCCAAAGGAGAGCAGGAAGCTCTGAGTTCAAGTCCCAGGACCAGTATATAAAAAGAAAAAAACAAAACCAAAAACGCTTTAGTTATTTTCCACTGGAGATGTCTGGACTCAGGCGTGGATGACAGAGCAGCCTGGGCAGCCTGGATCAGGCTGTGGGCTCAGGCCACATGGCTCTGTGCCTGACAGGTATTTGCGGGGTAAGGGCTGGGGGCGGGGGCGGTGTTACTGGGGACCATTGGCTGCACATACTCTTGGGTCTTTCTGGAGCAAGGTGTGTGGGACGGTCCCAGGCCGGGCTGCCACGTCGATGGGGTTGGATGTCTGCAAAGGAATGAGACCACACTTAGAAGCACGAAACACGGCCATGCAAGCCAGGGCTGCCCCCCTCTCCCCCCCCCCCCCCCCCGCTTCCCTCCAAGAGACATGAAACTTCATTTGTCTGCATGGCCCCTTCTGAACTGCACTCCATCGTTTTCTCCAGAGGTTTCTCCCTCTGTCCATGGCTTCTAAAGCGAAGAGGCAGTCCAGAACATTCTTCTGCCGTGCAAAGCCCAGGACTGAGAAAAGACCGTGGAACGTGCCCTGCCACCGTCCTCTGGGTGTGCACTCATCCTTTTCTTCTTGCCTCCAAAGAAATGCTTGTGTGTGTTGCCATTTACAGAATCAGGTGCTTCTCATCAGAATGGCTGAGAGTATTTTTATAGACATTAAGCTAACTCGAAATTTTAACAGGCAGACAATAACCAGAAATTACACTCTGTAATGAGCCATTAGCAGTGGCAGGAACAGGACAAGAGAAACTAATTTAGGGTCCACTCCGAACTACCATTAAATGCTGCTTTTGTCTTTCCGATTCAAAATATCGTTCTTAAATATCACCAACAACATTAGCTTTCATGCTAAATGAAGAACGAAAAGCCTACTTTAGACTGCTTGGAAAAAGACTTAAAAATGACACTAGTTATTTTATTTAGTAAGTCACAATTTGCACAAGTGTCCCCTACACACACACACACACACACACACACACACACACACACACACAATATTAACTCCTGTGGAAGAAGAGCTCCTGTTTAGGCATGAAGCTTGGGAGGAAAAGGAGGGAAGAAAAAAAAAAAGGAAGAAGGCAAGAAAGAAAAGCAATCAGCAGCTGTACAGCTAACAATTAAGCAGGAGTTGTTAGGAGCTGATTAGCATACATATGAAGAACTCTGCTAATGAACTGCAATCTACATATTCAATCAGGAGGGCCTACCAAGGCTATTTCTAACACCAGGAGAGACACTCTTCTGCCCAGATGTAGTTTTCTGTATGGCTGGCTAATTGTGACTGAGGGAAACAGTCTAATTTATTAAATGACCTCCTGGGCTGGTTGGGGGAGCACGAGGGACCTGTCCCTACCTAGTGGGCTGGGGCCGGGGTAGAAGGGAGTACCTCAAGAGTAGACTGACATGGAGGAGTAAAGAAGTCATTTTTGTCTTGGGCTGGGGTACACACACCCTGCGTGGTGTGTGTGGACCTGGGCTGCAGGCTGAGATTCTCTGGTGAGATTTTGCCTGCAGCCCAGGGCCTTGCACCAACCCCCCCCCCCCCCCCCCCCCGCCCACTTCCTGCTCTGGAAGAGCCCTGGGTGTTGTGCCTGACGCTCTGGCCCCACACTGGCACAGCTGGAGGTACCCAAAATCATACACAGGAAAACACTGGTATCAAGTAAAATAGAGCCACGCTCTCCTCAAGACTGACCTTTATAGAGAACTCCGCTTGTACGAGATAGATGTCAGCTGTCATTGAGGGCAAAAGGGTCATTCAGATCTAGGACGCCAGAACTAGCGGCTAAGCCTTGTGGATGTGAGTGTGGCCATGGTGTGGGGTGAGGAGATGATGGAGCAGACAGCAGGGCCGGCCCTGTGTACAGACCAGGCCAGCAAAGACCAGGGAGCCTGCCCTCTTCCCAGACACCAGGAACAAGATGGGGCTGTATGTGGGATTTAATTCTGGCTCATTAAAATCAGCGAGGAGAAATCAATAAAACCATTGTTCCACAGAATCAATGCCAATCAGTGTGATTGAGGTTTATCTTTGCTAATCATGGCTACCTTAAGGACAACATGGTGCCGGCATGTTTGATGCGTCACAGAATTCTTGACCTGACACTTATCCAATTCCAATACGTATATGGTACTTGTCCATCTGTCTGTTTGTCTGTCTGTCTGTCTGTCTATCTATCTCTCTATCTATCATCTATTCATATCAATATATAATATGGTCTTTATATATATGTATTAGATACATATACAAACACACAATCTATAGTAACTACATGTGTCCACACATCAATAATGTACAGTATCTACATGTGTATGCCTATACTTCCTTTTCATTCATTGGCTAGTGATCTACCAACTGAATCATGCCCCCAACCCTATGTGTTACACATACACACAAATATATAGAATATATGCAGTATATATGTGTGTATGTGTTTGCATCCACATAAAACACCTATATATAAACACACTACACAGTATCTGAATGCATGTATACACAAAAACACTACTGCATATATATGCAAGTTCATATACAGTATGTATATGTGTATGTATATAGGTGTCTCTTACATGTTATACATTGTACATTTGGAGTCTGAATGTTTTAAGGAGATTGAAAATCTCAGCTCAATGAAGACAGGTGGAAAGCTGTATTCCTCAGACTGGACAGACTAGAAGGAAAGCCCATCGTTCTCATTTCCACGCTGACTTTGGCAAATGGGTTGCTGTGCAGACCAGAGAAGAGGCCCCCCAGGCTGGCATGGGCCCTACAGGACAGCAAACCCCGTGTCCCTCCGAACGAGGTCTTACCTTGGGCTGGAAGGCTCCCTGCAGGGAGCCGAAGGGGCCAGCGGGCGTGACCATGGGGGGGATGCCGGACACTGCGGGTGGGTACGAATGGAAGAGCTGCGGCCAGAGACAGAGGAGGGAGAAAATGGTTTTAGCCAGAGGTGAGTGACGTGCCAACCCCTACCCACAGAGCCAGCGCCGCCGCCGGAGCCCCGCCACACTGCAAGGCGATTAGAAGCCGGATGGAACGATCACACAGACGTGCCATGAATGGTGAACTCAGAAAGTTAAAAGTAGCTCAGAATCAATCAGCCAACAAATGGCGTCCCAGGTGAGGGCGTCATCCCGGGGAGCTTTGCTAATTATTAACCAGCAAATCTCACGGAGTCGTAAATGGCTGGGGTCCTAACACGCAGAAAAATCGTGACAGTGACAAGGAAAACAGGAGAGCAGGCTGGGGACAATGCACAGAAAATTACAAGTTAATTAGAAAGAAAAGGATTTAAAAAACGGGGGGGGGGGGAGAGAATAAGAAGCGAGTCTTTATACCATTAAAACTCAATTAGTGCTTTTAGGTTTTTTAATAGTTTGAGAAGGGAAGATCATTAGGGTTGCCAGGCAGTTCCACAGGACACTTTGGTGTTTTTTTTTTTTTTCTAAGGGACTGGCTGTGTGCTGTCCACGGAGCAGTGACTCCTGCAGCTCACAGGGCACTGGAAGTCGGGGCAGACATCACTCACAGGGCACCTGGGCCACAGGTACCAGAGTGCTTTTGTATACGCAAGGGACTCCTGGTGGCCAGATCAGCAAGTGACCTGGAGGGGAAGGAAGCAGCCCCTGCTGACCGCCCGGCCGTGCCTGGCCTGAGACTCTGAATACTCAATGGCAGATGATCTGAGCAAGGGATGAAGTGTATGATGCCATGGCTCACAAACGAAGGATATAATGAAGAGAGAATGAACACAGGCTGCACAAACAGTGCACACGTCTTCCCTCCTTGAAAAACAGGTTATTTTCCTGTACTTGTGCCAGTCCTAGGGCTTGAACTGAGAGCCTGGGTACTGTCTTTCCCTTTGGATTTTTTGCTCAAAGCTAGCACTCTTCCACTTGATTCACAGCTCTGAGGGAGCTTTTTGCCAGCTAACTGGAGATAAGCTTTGTCTGCCTAAGCTTTGCTTTGAAGCTGGATTTTCAGATCTCAGTTTCCTGGGCAGCTAGGATTACAGGTGTGAGCCACCATGCCCTGCTTGGATTATTTCTGAGAGACATCCTATAGACTTTCTGTAAACTTTCCACCTCGTGGTCATGAAATGCATCCAGGATACAAAACTTAATAAGCTTTTGCCCTGTCTACTGTCTGCTGTGATGGGTACCAGCAGGGCTCCCACCGGCCCCTCCTGTCTTGTTTGGGAGTACGTGTTCTGCTTAATGCCCCAGAGTTCATTTCAACGAAGAAGTGAAGTTTTCAGACTAATTGATATTGAACTAAATCCACTTAAACAGCGATTGCAAGCCAAGAGCCCTCATTTAAAACTGCTTTTAAGTCTAAAATTGTGTTTAAGATACTTGAGCACACTGCATTTTAATTCTCCTTTATAAGACCCTAATCCCCTACTGGGGGGAGACTGGAGTGTTCCACATTTCACCCGCCATCACGCATCACACGCAGGGACTCCCAGAGTTCCTTCAGAAAGCAGAGGAATCTCACACACACACACACACACACACACACACACACACACACACACACACACACACACACACCACACACACACACACACACACAGAGTTCCTTCAGAAAGCAGAGGAATCTCACACACACACACACACACACACACACACACACACACACAGAGTTCCTTCAGAAAGCAGAGGAATCACACACACACACACACACACACACACACACACACATGCGCGCACATGCACGCACGCGCGCGTGCCATACCAAAATGCTCACCCTTTTCCCACCCTGTCTCCGAGTGGGCCTTTTACATCCACTCTGAGAAGCTGGGGCTCTGACTCTGGCTGGCTGACCCCCTTCATTCTCTCCATTGCTGGCCTCCTACAATCTGCTGTGACTGACCACATCGCCCTTCCCTGAGGATGTGGGGTCTGTTGGGAATGAAGCATGAGCTTTCCAGAGACCCACGCCTCCATGCCAGCTCTCCACCTATACTTGGGAGCACTGAGCATCTGACCCACCCAGAAAACTTCCTGTAGCAGTGACTTTGGTTTGTGGGTCTGTCATAGAGGGGCTGTGTGGGAAGCAGACCTGGAGAGAGGCCGGTGTGTGTGTGTAGATTTTGTTTGTATAATTTAGTGTTCATACTTTTCAAATTCTTTTAAAAACCTGGGGCTTGAACTCGGGGCTCCCTGCTCGTGTGTGTGTGTGTGTGTGTATGTGTGTGTGTGTGTGTGTGTGTGTGTGTGTGTGTGTGTATGTGTGTGTTTCCCCTCAAGGCTAGCACTACCACTTGAGCCACAGCTCCTCTTCCAGCGTTTTGCTGATTCACTGTGGTGTGGTCTGCTTGGGCTGCCCATGGAATGGTGATCCTCAGATCTCAGACTCCTGAGTGGCTGTGACTACAGGCGTGAGCATAGTGCGCAGCTTCTGACTCTCTCTTAAGGTCGCCCTCTCGTTCTTTGTAGACTTCTATGGCAGACTATTTCATTGATTTGCAACCTGTTCCAGTCCTGACTTCCCAGCTACTCTCTTGCCTAAGAACACTGAAACCACTGTGCACTGATACCACTATTGTTCTAGTTATTACTCTGCTCTTTCCTCTGGTTTTGCTTTTAAAACCAAGTGAAGGAAACATGCACAATCCCAGACAAAACATGCAGTATTCGCTCTGCCACCAAAATCTCACAGCGAGGCACCCAGGAGCCTCTGTACACGGAGAGCCTCTTGCACAGAAAGGACTGCGCATACAATTTAGGCTGGCACCAATTTGAGTTCTGGGACATGGTCTGAAATTTGTGTAAAATAAGTTCTTTTTTTTTTTCTTCTTTAGAAGAAAATAAAGAATGCCTCGAGAGAGAAGAGACTTGTGCTCATTTCAACGTGAGGGGCTGTCCGGCCCCGTGGGAGATGCTCTCTACTGTGCTCAGGCGGGGACTCAGTCTAAGGAGCTCTGTGTAACGGTGTCGCAGTGGACAGCTCAGGGCCTAGGATCTGAGACTCTTGTGAGAGTTGCAGGAGTCTCCCACATTTCTGGAAAGATCCACCCCCCCGCACCCCCTACACACACACTGTGATTTCTATCAGGGTCCCACTGTGCCCTGCATCTTGGAAGTGCTTAGGGTCTTTTGATTCTGAAGCAGACACTGCATGGTTATCAAAAGCGAGCGAGTGACAGACAGGAGCCGCAGGAAGCTGACACTGAGGAGAAGGAGGGTGGGAGGCCAGCGGGGGGTGGGGTGGTACGGACACAGACATGCGTGCGGTGACATGGACATGGAGGCAGGGCATGGGGGGAGACTCACACTGTGCCGGTAGAAGGGGTCAACCTTGGTGGGGTATTTGTCAAACTGCAAAGGGACCAAAGGAACAGTTACTCCATCGGCATTCCCTCACCGGCCTGGAACAAGCTTTGGGGTGCTAGGATGTCACCGCACCCCGGGGCCTTCACCACACACAGTGGAATCTGAGCTCCAGCTGAGAACAGCACTGCGTGGCAGCCCGTGGGGGTCCCCTGCGTCCTGGACACACACCCAGGGCACACATGGGCAATCGTCTCCACCCATCCCAGAGAAGCGAGACCCAGCCCTTGGCACGATCTGTCCGAGGATTCCCTGTGTCAGTTCAACTTCATTTCTGCTACAGATCCTGCTGACACGTATTACACTTGGACACACTGTGACCTGGCCATTCCTTTTAGAACAGAAAACAAGGGTCTCTCTCTCTCTCTCTCTGGTAGTGGGCCTAGCACTCTCTCAGCCTTCTTTTGCTCCAGCCTGGCATGCTACCCCTTGAGTCACAGCTTTACTTGCAGCTTTTAACTGGCAAACAGGGGATAAGAATCTCTTGATTTTGTTTGCCCCGGATGGCTTTGAACTTGGATCCTCAGACCTCAGCCTCCTGAGTAGCTGGGATTACAGGGGTGAGCCACGATGCATGGCCTGAGTCTGGTAGTTGTCACTCCCTCTGAGCAATGCTGCCTTCTGGGGGTCCTGACCTTAGACCACTGAACCCAGCCCAGAGGAACAGGCCTCGTGCAGTCAGTGTGGAGCTGCAGACCCAGCTCGCCTGCAGGAACACAGCATTTGCTGGAAGAAACCTATGACTACCACGCTTCACTTTCATAGAAACTTAGAAGGAAAACTTGACAAAGCCTTAAGATCAGGTATATCCTCAAATAGTAAAAATTAAGAAGAAAGCATCTGACAAATACTCATGTCTAGAGATGAGGCTGTACCTAACTCGGGATATACGTGGCAGCTCTCACTCATAAAACAAATATGCCCTGTGGCTCTGGGGGGCACACGCCAGTCCCATGCTGGCTGCAGGGGCCAGGGCCACAGGGTCAGGGCCCTCTCCCACAGCCTGCAGACCCCTCTCCTCCACTGCTCTAGGGACATGTGTGCCACCATGGGGTGACAGTGCCCGGGATGCCCAGGACAGCAATGCCACCTGTGAGCTCCCTACAGTGGGCGGGTGGAGCCATGGCAGGCCAGGTGAGGCCAGGGGCCCCGGGGCAGGGCCCTCCCCATGCAGCCTGCCCACGCCCCCGTCACACCCCGCTTGTCCTCACATTTCTGCCTGGGGTACGCACCATGGGAGGTGCTGGCGTGGGCATGATGGCGGTGGGCGGGATGGCGTGGGGGAACGGCGTGAAGGTGTGCTGGTGCGTGTGCTGGTGGGTGTGCTGGTGCTGGTGCTGGTGCTGGTGGAACTCGGTCCGCAGGTAGGGCGGGGGGCCCAGGGAAGCACCACGGTCAGCACTCTGCGACGCCAGGAAGCGTGTGTTCAGTTCCTGCCGCAGGATGTCTTGCTCTGGAAGAGAAGAGGAGGGACCTGTGGAGGGCACCCTGGGCTACCATGGACATCTCCTTCACAGGAGGTATGATGGCAGGATGGGAGCTGGCCGGAGACATCCGGTGATGAACACAAGCAAAGGAGATGAGCATCGATCACCTTTGGCCGCTCCACCAGCTGCCCAGAGACCACAGTGGGCTTCCCAAGCCTTGGACCCTGCATGTGCCACGTTCTTGCCAGGCGTGGCTGGGGCAGGCCGTGGGCCTCTGAGTGTGCCACGTTCTTGCCAGATGTCTCAGTGAGCAAACAGGAGTCAGCGGTGGACACCAGGCTTGCGTGGCTGATTGGACAAGGATCCCATGTCCTCCGTAAGAGTCAGTGGCCAGCCACCCTGCAGCAGTGTGCCAGTGGAGGAACAGGACCAGAGGGCCCTGTGACTCCGGCCTGACTGACACATGTATAACTAACACTGGGGCTGGTTTTGAAATTTGGGGAACGCAGGATCACAAGAACTTCCCAGCAGAGAAAGGTCACGCATCACAAAAACCAATCCTTTTTGTTTTTCTTCCTGTTGTTCCAGTGCTGGTCCTCGCACTTGGGGCTTCAGAGTTTCAACTGGCTTTTCCAGTCAAGGCTGGTGCTCTACCATTTGAGCCACAGCTCTACTTTTGGCATTTCGCTGGTTAATTGGAGATACGAGTCTCACAGACTTTCCTGCCTCAGCAGGCTTGAACTGTGATCCTCAGCTCTCAGTCTCCTGGTAACTATGATTACAGGCGTTGAGCCACCAGTGCCTAGCACAGACCAGATCTTAACCTAGAGCCTCTACCAAGATCTTGGGGGAAACAAGATAGGGGCCTGGGAAGCTGGGCTGTCACTTCAAGGCATGCATCTGGGTGAGCAGGTGCCCCCCCCCACCTGAACAGGTGCCCTGCCCATCAACCTACCTGAGTAGGTGCCCCCGGCTGCGTGTCCGGGCACCGGCAGGCTCCCTGACGTCAGCGGCGGTGGAGGAGGCAAAGCCGTGGGTGGGGCAAACATATTGGGGTGATGCGGGTGTGTGGGGGGCTGGAGGGTGGGCGTGAAGCTGTGCAGGGGGCTGTGGTTGGGCAGGGACAGTGGGAAGGGGGAGGCAGGAGGGTGGTGGGAGAGGTGCGGAGGGGCGGGCTGGGTCTTCGCCGGAGTGCTGCTCCTGCTGCTGCTATTAAAGGAAGAAAAGCGCCATGAGCGTGGCTTGCCTAGAAGAAGGGAGGAGGCCTCTCTCTGACTACAGCCACTCAAGGTGCTGGTCCTGGGGTTTGAACTCAGGGCCTGGGTGCTATCCCTGACCTTCTTTTGCTCAAGGCTAGTGCTCTATCACTTGAGCCACAGCAGCACTTCTGATTTTTTGGTAGTTTATACATCCCAGTGTCTGGATTGTATCTGAACCCCTCAGGTCCCTCCCACTTTTTTTCCCCATAAGCCAGCCTCTGGTTTTGAACCCAGGGCCTTCTGCATGCCAGACAAGCGCTCTACCACTTGAGCCACATCCCAGTCCTTCCCCTTCCTTTACATTTGTGCCTCTCTCAGGGGCACCTGCAGAGCTGGAGGACAAGATGGGCCTACAAGTGCCTCCCTCCTGGGAGGAGGATCTCAGCCCGCGCAGCTACGAGGGGCGATTAGGGTCAGCAGGGGTGGGGATGGGGGTAAGCAGGGGGTGGGGATGAGGGTCAGCAGGGGTGGGGATGAGGGTCAGCAGGGGTGGGGATGAGGGTCAGCAGGGGGTGGGGATGAGGGTCAGGAGGGGGTGGGGATGAGGGTCAGCAGGGGTGGGGATGAGGGTCAGGAGGGGTGGGAATGAGGGTCAGCAGGGGTGGGGATGAGGGTCAGCAGGGGTGGGGATGGGGGTCAGCAGGGGTGGGGATGGGGGTCAGGAGGGGTGGGGATGGGGGTCAGCAGGGGGTGCAGATGAGGGTCAGCAGGGGTGGGGATGAGGGTCAGCAGGGGTGGGGATGAGGGTCAGCAGGGGGTGGGGGTGAGGGTCAGCAGGGGTGGGGATGAGGGTCAGCAGGGGTGCAGATGAGGGTCAGCAGGGGTGGGGATGGGGGTCAGCAGAGGTGGGGATGAGGGTCAGCAGGGGTGGGGATGGGGGTCAGGAGGGGTGGGGATGGGGTCAGCAGGGGTGGGGATGGGGGTCAGCAGGGGTGGGGATGGGGGTCAGGAGGGGGTGGGGATGGGGTCAGCAGGGGTGGGGATGAGGGTCAGCAGAGGTGGGGATGAGGGTCAGCAGGGGTGGGGATGGGGGTCAGGAGGGGTGGGGATGGGGTCAGCAGGGGTGGGGATGGGGGTCAGCAGGGGTGCAGATGAGGGTCAGCAGGGGGTGCAGATGAGGGTCAGCAGGGGTGGGGATGGGGGTCAGCAGGGGTGGGGATGAGGGTCAGCAGGGGTGGGGATGGGGGTCAGCAGGGGGTGGGGGTGAGGGTCAGCAGGGGTGGGGATGAGGGTCAGCAGGGGTGGGGATGGGGGTCAGGAGGGGTGGGGATGGGGTCAGCAGGGGTGGGGATGAGGGTCAGCAGGGGTGGGGATGAGGGTCAGCAGGGGTGGGGATGAGGGTCAGCAGGGGTGGGGATGAGGGTCAGCAGGGGTGGGGATGAGGGTCAGCAGGGGGCGGGGATGAGGGTCAGCAGGGGTGGGGGTGAGGGTCAGCAGGGGTGGGGATGAGGGTCAGCAGGGGTGGGGATGGGGGTCAGCAGGGGGTGGGGATGAGGGTCAGCAGGGGTGGGGATGAGGGTCAGCAGGGGTGGGGATGGGGGTCAGCAGGGGGTGAGGATGAGGGTCAGCAGGGGTGGGGATGGGGTCAGCAGGGGTGGGGATGAGGGTCAGCAGGGGGTGGGGATGAGGGTCAGCAGGGGTGGGGATGGGGGTCAGGAGGGGGTGGGGATGAAGATCAGCAGGAGGACAGGGATGAAGATCAGCAGGGGATGGGCATGAAAGTCAGCACGGGCCAGGAATGAGGGTCAGCAGGAGGATGGGACCAGGTTCAGCAGGGTGGGGACTCACCTTAAACTATTGACACTCAGGCTGCTGCTGGTGTAGGCGGACAGCGGCTGGGCCAGGCTCTGGGCTGGGTGGGCCGGCACCACTGGAAGGCTGTGGTGTGGCAGCTGGGCAGGGGATGGGGGCCTTGGGGGCCGGGGCACCTGAGGCTGTGGGGCCGGCTGCAGCTGGGCCTCCGGGGGTCCCTGTGGAGGCTGTGAGGCAGGAGGAGGAGGCTGGGGCGTGGCCTCGGCGCGCTGCACGTTGGGGTCCCGCGATGGTGGCCGGAGCGAGGGCTCGGCCGGGGGCTGGGGCCGGGCTGGCGGGACCGGAGGACAGGAGTCTTTGAGCACCGGGGCCTCGAAGACTGGCTCTTTGCAGCAGTCCTGGCTCTTCTCCTGGCTCCTCTCTAGGCCTGATATCTTCGGGACAATGGGCCCGGCATCCTGGCCGCCACGCTCAGGCAATGTGCCAACTCCCAGCTCGGGGTCTGCAAGGAGGAGAGCAGAGACAAGGCCTGAGTGAGCAGGGGCGCGGGAGAAAGGCAAATTGGAAGCTGGCCGACCCTGTCCCTGTCTGGGACAAACACCCAGCACTACCTGGGGCCAGAGGGTCCAACATAGGCTTATACTGGCCAGAGAGTCAACGGCACTTTCACTACCCCCGCCTTTTTTTTTTTGTCGATCATGGGGCTTGAACTCTGGGCTTAGGCACTGTCTTTGCGCTCTTCAGCTCAAGGAGAGTGCTTTACTGCTTGAGCCACAGTGCCACTTCTGATTTTCTAGTGGTTTATTGGAGATAAGAGTCTCAAGGATTTTCCTTTCTGGGCTGGCTTTGAACAGCGATCCTCAGATCTCAGCCTCCTGAGGAGCTAGGATTACAGGCGTGAGCCACAGGTGCCCAGCTCACCCCCACCTTTTACGGCATTCCCTTGGGCCCTGTGGGGTCCCTGCTGAGATCAGGGAATGGAGGTCAAATTCCTCAAGCTTGTACAGAAAATAGATGTTCTTGGGTAGATTTCAAAGATCAAAAGACTTCTTAGCTGGGCATTTGTGGCACACGCCTGTATTCCCAGCTACTCAGGAAGCTGAGATCTGAGAGGATCGAGTTCAAAGCCAGCCTGGGCAGAAAACATCATGAGACTCTTATCTCCAATTAACAAGCAACCCCCCCCTCCCCCCGCCACCAAAATCCACAAGTGGAGCTGTGATCCAAGTGGTATAGTACCAGCCTTGAGCACAAAAACTTGGGGAGAGTAGTGCTCAGGCCCTGAGTTCAAACCCGAGGACTTGGGGGCATTCACATGACTCCCTAGTCATGGGTGCCGCACATTTCCACAGCTCATCCCCGACATCCTTCTGTCCATTTGCTCAGGAAGTCGATTGACTTCCCACCTGCTGACTTTCCATCTCCCGTCCATCCTCGCAGTGCTTCTCCCACAATGACCATGACACATTTCACAACTTCATCTTGTCTTGTACAGTGTGCCCAGAATTTGCCAAATGTTGAAACGTGCTGGGGCGGATGGAGCTCAGCACCAGCAAACGGCCCTGTCTTCACTGCACACTGGGGCTTGTAATCACAACGCACCATGCTCATCACAAAAAAAACGGATGACAAATTATACTGCGTGGTCCACATGGTAAAAGGATGAATTTACCGTCTGTAATATATGTATCAATAAACTGGACTTACATGTTTTTGTGCTGGTAGATAAGGGGAAATAGGGTTTGTTTTGTGCTTCCTTGGGGGACACACAGCCCTCTGACATCACCACATTTACTGGGGTGGGCGCCAGGGGTGAGTGGATGCACAAGCCCTCTGTGGAAATGGAAGAAAAGTATATACATTTGCTTATGTGTTTAAAGGCTCTGGAAGTATCCATACAAGACACTCAAGGTTCTGCCTGTGGGGTCTTTGCAAAAAGTTTGAAATTAGAGACACAAAGTTGGAGAAACTCTGTGTATAAAACAATAAGAAAATGAGGATGGCACCAATCAGTGGCTCACGCCTGTAATCCTAGCTACTCTCAGGAGGCTGCGATCTGAGCATTATAGTTTGAAGGCAGCCTAGGAAGGAAAGTCCTTGAGATGCTTATCTCCAATTAACTAGCAAAAAGCGAGAAGTGAAGCTGTGGCTCAAGTGGTAGAGCACCAGCCTTGAGAAAAAAAATCAAGATACAGTCTAAGCCCCGAGTTCACATCTCAAAGTGCCAAGCCATACTGGCACATAAAAGGGAAATAAATGACTAGGACTGCATTTTCAGCAGCTCTATTTAACAGAGCAGTCTCTATGTTGATCTGCCGGGCAGAGCGGGGGTAGGGAGGGGGGCTGGGGAAAGCATCAGGAGTGCAGGAGAGTGCGCAGAGCGGTGTGAACACCTCACACCACACTGTCTCTCCCTTCCTGTCCACCGGGGCTTTGCACTCTGGGGAACTGTGTGTGCCCGCGGGCGTGCTGGCCACATAGTTCATCTCGAGAGTCAAAGGAAAGTGCGGTATTTATTGCCCCATGAAACGGCCTGGGGCATGAGACGGACTCACGGAGCAGTGAGACCTCACAATGTTCCCACCACGCAGGAGACCGCCAAGGGCCGTGTGCAACGGAAGGAAGTCATGGCAACAGCTCTCTGCACACAGAAAAAAGCTCAGTGCTTCCTCCAAACAACAGTGGGGCATGCTTCACATGAGGGGCGACCGGCTTGGACAACAATGGCTATTGTGTAAAACAACGCATAGCACGACCAGCAAAACAGAAAACTGTCCATGTGCACAGCCAGCCTGCACAGACCAGTGACCCCCACGCCTACACGGCCACCTGCACCCTGTCATCAGCGATGCGCCCCAACACTATTGTGTGCACCTGCATGTAGACACAGGACTTGACACTTCTTGTGATGAATACACACTGTTCCTGGAAAGGCAAAGAGGAAGGGCGCCATGTTCTCCACCTTCACTCCAAGACAACTGACTGAAATTGGATGAAGAAAACAAAGTAGAACAAAAAAGCCACATCCTACCCTGGAGCCAGGTGAATGTTCACTCTGAGACAAGCACCCAACATGGCCAGCAATCACATTCTGCGGTTCCTCCGCCCACTGGCTCTGCTAGAGCAGGAGGGAGGAGCAGGAAGAGCAACAGAATTCTGCACCCCTGCTTCTGCTCTCCACACCTCTCTCCACTGTAGAGCGCTCTGACCCAGCTAACTCACCGCAAAGTCATTACTGTACTGAATCCGACCACGTCTCAAATGCATCAAGAAAACCCTTAGGTTGTGAGTCGTTAGCCAATGTAACCATCCATCCAGCCACCTCCCCCATTCATCCATCTCTCCATCCATCCATTCAATCCTTGATCTTTACCTCTGTGCATGTCTGATCCATATCATCAAGAAATGGACATACCCTTATTTTCTATTACTCGTTCTCAGAGCCACCACCCTCCCATCTACTGGATGAAGATCGAGGCCAAATGAGAATGACCTTGACTGTCAAGGGGGGCGCTCACTAAACATTCAGTACTGCGAAGCCTAGAGGCAGGCGACACCCCATTCCTGTGACTGGGGATACAGTGATTTCATGTTGCGAGCACTGCCCACTGCTCAAAGACAAAGTCTTCGTAAGCCAATGCTGACTGTGCTGTGTGTCCTGAATAACACACCACACTACTGAACTACTTCAACTGTATCTGTAACTCCCTGCTAAGTTTTAAGATGCTCAAGTCTCCAAACTGAGTATGGCCAGGGTGTTTGGCAGGAAGACACTGGTCCTCTCCAACATCGTCTCTGTATTTCCCTCCTTTTCTCCATTTCTTCAAATCATTAAACAGGGCCCGGTTTGTTCCATTAGCAGATTCAATTACTCGAACGAATGGAAGGGTGACATTCAGTCTTACATTTCTTCTCGGTCACTGAAACTGTACAAATAAATGGAGGAAAACCCACCGTTTGTTCAAGGCAAATTAATTTTCAGACACTGTGAGAGTGGAAGATCAGGGCATGAAGGGTGTTTGGCAGGGCTGGAAGAGATTCCATTTTGTGCCTGTCATGTCGTGTAAACATTAATTACCATCAGGGAGGCAGAGCTCTGGGCGCAGGTCCCTGTCACAAGCCTCTGAGGGCCTCAGGGTGACTACTGAGATCAAAATCTTAATGAGGAACGAAGAACCTCTTGCACCAGCCAGAACAGCAGTGCCTGCTGGGAAAGCTGTGTGGAGGCCAGCCATGGAGGTTGCTCTCAGCGAGGCCAGACTGGCTAACATCTGGTTGACTATTTTCTCCAGGATGGGGTGACTCTTGCTAGGATTCAAGTAGAAGCCATACACCGAAGATGGGCATCCTTCAACTTAAGTTCCAAATGTATCCCACCGAAACCTAATGCACACAAAAAGCATCCATTTCCCAGTGTGCAATGGCTCCTGCCCATAACCCCAGTCATTTAGCAGACTGGAAGGATCACAGTTTGAAGAGAACTTGGACAAAAAAGCATTTCAGACCTAACTCTATGAACAAACTGGGCATGGCAGTATACAGCTGTAATCCTGGATACAAGAGGCTGAGAAGGATTGAATGGCAAAATCAGACTGAGCAAAACACAAAACTCTCCATGAGAAATTAAGCAAAAGAGGCTGGAAATGTCACTTAAGTAGAGGTTCTGCCTATGAAGTGCTAGGTCCTGAGTTCAAATCATAATACTGTGCAAAAACAAAACAATAAAACCCTCAAAGACTCCCAAAACATGGATGAGGATGCTTAAGGCTGTACATGTCTCCTCCAGGTGCAGCGCCGGTACTGTCCTGTCCTGTCCTGATGTGGAGGAGAGGCCACTGCACAGCTCTGGGCCCAGAACAAAGAACTGGCATGTCCTGGTCAATCTGGGCTGGAGAACAGCTTGGCTCTTTTCTATTGTCCATGGAAGCAATGCAAGGTGGGTCAGGCATGGAGAAGGAAAAGAAGGAGGAGACATAGGCCGTGGTCTATTGGGGTGGGAGGGGAGTCCGTGGGTAAGCACAAGCCACAAAGTGAGTGACCCAGGGCCACACAGAATCCTGCCCCTCGCTTCCTGCAAGGCCATGGTCAGAGGACATGAAGGAGACAGGGCCCAAGGGCCTGAGGGGCCCTGGGGGCAACTGGCAGCTGGAGGCAGGAAGGACAACACAGAGGAAACCACATTGTCTCTGTGCTGGTGGCTAGAGCACTGAGGGCAGGTTTGGGGTGGGGGTGGGGGTTGTTTCTAGCCTCTTCCCGTGTGTGTGTGTGTGTGTGTGTGTGTGTACGCGTGTGTGTGTGTGTGCGTGCGTGCTTGCTCACACGCGCTTCCCCATTATCTCCATCCTGTCCATGGGAGCCGGGACCTGTCCAGCCCTGCAGTCTGTCTGAGTGGCTCATGTGGAAGTACCACAGAAGCCTCTAGAAGGAATCCATGGCAGTCCTGTACTCTAGGGGCACTCTCAGGAGTGTGATGGTCATCTTGGGTCCCCTTGGCTCCCCGAG